AAACAATAAGTGTGGCTTGATATTGAGTAAGAAAAAGGTTGATAAACGCTGTGAGAATGGGTCTGCAGAGAGAATGGGTCTGCAGAGAGAATGGGTCTGCAGAGAGAATGGGTCTGCAGAGAGAACGGGTCTGCAGAGAGAATGGGTCTGCAGAGAGAATGGGTCTGCAGAGAGAATGGGTCTGCTGAGAGAATGGGTCTGCAGAGAGAACGGGCTGCAGAACGGGTCTCGAGTCTGCAGGAGAGAACGGGTCTGCAGAGAGAAACGGGTCTGCTGAGAGAATGGGTCTGCAGAGAGAATGGTCTGCAGAGAGAACGGGTCTTGCATTGAGGAGAACGGGTCTGCAGAGAGAACGGGTCTGCAGAGAGAATGGGTCTGCAGAGAGAATGGGTCTGCAGAGAGAATGGGTCTGCAGAGAGAATGGGTCTGCAGAGAGAATGGGTCTGCAGAGAGAAGGGTCTGCAGAGAGAGGGTCTGCAGAGAGAATGGGTCTGCAGAGAGAATGGGTCTGCAGAGAGAACGGGTCTGCAGAGAGAACGGGTCTGCAGAGAGAATGGGTCTGCAGAGAGAACGGGTCTGCAGAGAGAATGGGTCTGCAGAGAGAATGGGTCTGCAGAGAGAATGGGTCTGCAGAGAGAACGGGTCTGCAGAGAGAATGGGTCTGCGAGAGAATGGGTCTGCAGAGAGAATGGGTCTGCAGAGAGAATGGGTCTGCAGAGAGAACGGGTCTGCAGAGAGAATGGGTCTGCAGAGAGAATGGGTCTGCAGAGAGAATGGGTCTGCAGAGAGAATGGGTCTGCAGGAGAATGGGTCTGCAGAGAGAATGGGTCTGCAGAGAGAATGGGTCTGCAGAGAGAATGGGTCTGCAGAGAGAATGGGTCTGCAGAGAGAATGGGTCTGCAGAGAGAATGGGTCTGCAGAGAGAATGGGTCTGCAGAGAGAATGGGTCTGCAGAGAGAATGGGTCTGCAGAGAGAATGGGTCTGCAGAGAGAATGGGTCTGTGAGAGAATGGGTCTGCAGAGAGAATGGGTCTGCAGAGAGAATGGGTCTGCAGAGAGAACGGGTCTGCAGAGAGAACGGGTCTGCAGAGAGAATGGGTCTGCAGAGAGAATGGGTCTGCAGAGAGAATGGGTCTGCAGAGAGAATGGGTCTGCAGAGAGAATGGGTCTGCAGAGAGAATGGGTCTGCAGAGAGAACGGGTCTGCAGAGAGAACGGGTCTGCAGAGAGGAATGGGTCTGCTGAGAGAATGGGTCTGCAGAGAGAATGGGTCTGCAGTGAGAATGGGTCTGCAGAGAGAATGGGTCTGTAGAGAGAACGGGTCTGCAGAGAGAATGGGTCTGCAGAGAGAATGGGTCTGCAGAGAGAATGGGTCTGCAGTGAGAACGGGTCTGCAGAGAGAACGGGTCTGCAGAGAGAACGGGTCTGCAGAGAGAACGGGTCTGCAGAGAGAATTTCACCGCGATCCCAACTCTGTTATCAGCCTGCAGCCAGGGAGGAGAGATCAGCAGAGCTGCCTGCACTGAGTGTGTGAGGAAGTCCGTGGATTGGTCAATTTGGACCAATCAGCGGGGGCTTAACGTAACGGCTCCGCGGATTGGTCCATTTCGTTCCGGGGACGACATGACATCATGATGTCCCCGGAAGAATCAAATGGACAGTGACGTATCTCCAACGAGGCGTTTTGGGGAGGTATTTTCTGTGTTAGAGTTTTAGGGTGCATTCACACCTAATAGTCCGTTTTCTGGTGCGCACCAGACGACAGTTTGTTACATTGTTTCATTTTTCACAAGGTTCGGTTTGCGTTCACACGGGCAAAACTCAAACGGACTATAAACTTTAAACACAAGTCATGTGCACGGAAATGCTGTTCAACCATTGGTCAGACATTAAGGGGGTAAAAACGTGAATCCCGGCAATGTCTACCGGAGCCTCCGCCATGGAGCATCGGCACTTTCGGCAGGTTATTCTCATGCTGCTGTTAATCTGGAGATCAACAGACACTAGCGGCCCGCGCATATGATTATATAATCAGACAACGTCCGTTAAAAAACATTATAACACATATAATGAGACGTTCTGCAGTAAGGAGGGGCGTTTCACAGACGACAGGTGTTCTTACTTTTATGTAGTTGACAGAGCATTTTTACTTTACACGACACTGTTCAACACTTCATTCTGCTTCACTCTTTAACTAAACAACCGCGGATGTCTTGAAAGACTCTTTCGCTAAAGATTTTTGAAGATATTAGCGTTCTTGTGACACGTAAATACTACGCTTCCTATGTTTTGGTGCGGACTGCGTTAAACACCAGCAATGAACCGCTCCAGAGTTAGCAAGCAAGCGCTCCGAGACCACCTATTTTAGCGGACCAGAGTCCGGTTGTTTAGTTCACTTCAGAGGTCTCGGACTGTGTTCACACCGACCCAAATGAACCGCATCAAGCGGATAAACGCACCAGGGTTCGATTCAACCGGACTATACAAGGCAGGTGTGAACGCATCCTTACTCCCTACATGGTGTACTTTGAGGGTTTTGACTCTGCACACCGTTTACATGTATACAAACCTTCATAACACACAAGAGGACGGGTACTAACCGGAAAAGCATGACATGTCACCTTTAACAAAAAACCCTATGCATTTGATGTTATTTTGGACCATTATTCATATAGTAATCACATTACCTGAGCCCTTGAGTTGCCTAGAGCAAAATAGTTACAGCATATATTTAGTGATTTTAATGTTAACAGATCATTGATGCAATAACATTTGGACCCAATTTGCCTGACTTGACGCATGGAATAAAACATGGGCGTAAGAAGCATCCTCAATGTGGGTGAGACAATTTAACAGGGGGTGTGGGCAGGTGGTGGACCTCACCCCCTCTAGGGAGGTCCGGGGGCAAGCTCCCCCGGGAAGATTTGTTTTTAAATGTTGAAGTTAAATGCATCAATCTGGTGCACTTTGAGAGCAAAATTAGGGACTAAATCTATGGCAGTCAGTCAGGGCTTGGACTGTGAGCCGTAGGGTCGCCGGTTCAAGTCCCAGACCAGTCCTACATTTGGAGTGTGGACTTCTACTTGGAGAGGTCCCAGTTCACCTCCTGCCCTGCCGTGGTGCCCTTGAGCAAGGCACCGGACATCCCCCTGTGCCCACACACAGCACCGGCCCACCGGGGAAACTCCCGGTATTCCCAATGGCCAGTCCGCCCCTGATTGCACATCTGTCCGTCCTGGGAGAGGGATCCCTCCTCTGTTGCTCTCCCTGAGGTTTCTCCCATGTTCCCTTTAAACTGTGGGTTTTCTTCGGAAGTGTTTCCTTGTACGATGTGAGGGTCTAAGGACAGAGGGTGTCGTATTGTCATACTGATATTCTGTACAAACTGTAAAGACCACTGAGACAAATGTAACATTTGTGATATTGGGCTATATAAATAAACATTGATTGATTGATTGATTGATGATATAGATCAGGGATGTCAAACTCAAGGCCCGGGGGCCAAATCCGGCCCGTGACTTCATTTTCTGTGGTCCCACAAGAGCTTGCAAAGAATATAATATGTTTATTATATAGTTACATGATGATTTAATTAAGCACGTTGCCCATAAACTATACTGTATGTCCCTCAATGCATCTCAAATTAGACTTTTTTTTTTTAAATGTCACTTCTGTTTTTTGATTTTTTTTTCCAGCTTTTCTTTTTTAATCATTTTGTGACATTCTCACTGAAGAGACTTGCAATGATTTGCCCTTGACTTCTGCTTTCAGACGTAGCTAATTATGAAGTTATTATCCTATCCAATAATAATCCAATGCAGAGGCAATATTGTTATATAATACATTATTTTATATATATATTTATATATAAGTTACAACCGGCCCTTTGAGTGCAGCCATAATGCTGATGTGGCCCGCGATTAAATTGAGTTTGACACCCCTGATATAGATAGACTTTATCAACCTTATTTGTTCAGATATCTTTATGAAGTACAAACATAATGGTACCAGCAGTTGGCTATAGGGTGTAGACATTAGGTTTCTGGTGCTGAAGGGTTCTTGGTAGGACATGGAAGTATTGGTATCAGTCAGAAAAGCAAGACTTGGGACTTGGATAGGAATTTAAAACAATCGTTGTCACTTGTGAAAGTTTCAACCATATTTTTGACTCGCTAGCTTTGGAATCTCACAGTTTTATCATAACCTTTTTAGAAAACGTGAATAATTATTTGTTAATCATACTTTTTTATTAGTGTGAACCTAATATTTCAAGTAAACTAAGCTAAAATGAGTAACTGTCCACCACTGCAGAGGACCTCCTTATAATTAGATTGCAGTGTGTTTTCATGCGTCATGATTTCTTAAGGTCAAAATCAACATGTGAAAATGCTGACCATACTACAGCTCACACACACACACACACACACACACACACACACACACACACACACACACACACACACACACACACACACACACACACACACACACACACACACACACACACACACACACACACACACACACACACACTTACTTGCAATTGTCCATGTCTGTCATTATGTGGACTATGGTCCATCTGCCTGACCCTTTCCTGTAGGGTGTGCTCTGATTGGCTGTTAGACTTGGTTTAACAGCCTATTTACATCTGCTTCTGATAGGCCGCCCCTCCCTGCCAGGCCTTTCTTGCCTTGGGAGGCAAATTAAGTGGGTGATGCTGTAAAACCAGGAACCTGCCTGAGACTAACACTGGATGAGGAGTCCCTCTCAGTGCTGGGCTTTCTTTTTATGTCACACTTGTTTACTGCACCAGATCTTATCAGTGTGTCCGTAACGGATTACTCAGGTTAATGGAGGGGAGGAAAACATGCTGTAATCTGATAGCTGTCTCTTTAACTCCATTCCACTGAATCCCTTATCTATGCATGTTTTCTATACAGCCCAAACTTTTCCTCCTGTTGTTCTCAAACACAAAGCCCTCTCTCTGTCTGTTACACACTCACACAGAGACACAGGAGTTTTAGATGCATGTATGAAACAGTTTTACAAGAAGCTCCTTGAAACAGACGCACTGACTTTCTGCCTCTATAATATTTACTTTACACTGCCTCTGGGAACAGGAACAGCATTCCTGTCATTCAGGATACACAGTACTCCGGACATCATGCCTCTGGGATCTAGCTGTGGGAAACTTTGAGGGGGAGTGTTCAAAGGTGGAGCTTAGATCTAAGCTTGTGGGACAGGACCGTAAGACAGGACACGAGTGTTGAGCAGAGGTGCATGTCTGATGGTTCAATAATCTCTTTCTCCAATGGGAAACGCTTTCACAATGGATTGGATTTGATCACAACACACATACTTCAACTTAAAGTGTGCTGGAGGACTCTGAGTGAAGTTTGCAATACATAGAGTTCATGAGAATGTTGCCTGGAGTTTATCTGCACTGAAACCAGATTCAAGAGGACGTGTTTTCAGTGCTGCAGAGATACCTGGTTGTTGGTGGGCTTCAGAGGGAACTAGCACCATGGCAGGGGTCACGAGAAAGGGATCTGGGAGACCCTCGTACTACTACAGATTCCTGGGCAAGTCTCGACTGCAGCGTCAGCGAAGCCGGTCCCGCAGTCGCACCAGGCCGTCTACCAGCAGGGGTAATAATAATACTACTACTGCTTAAACAAGTTCACCATGCAGCAGTGTCAGCTTTGTGTATACTTCAAGAGTCACAGCTTTTAACTTTGTACCTACAAAACACTGGAGCTGTAGCTGTTAAAGTTCAGAAGAAACATATTGTAGCTCAGTTACTCATGTTGACAGTGTCTGTATTTCTGATTCTCATTAGCAAGTGCATATTTCTGATAGTATAAAGTATTTTTCTTGGACATGCAGGCTACATTCTGTATGAGCTACATGAGGAAAGGAAGTTCCCCTTTCTTGTTAATACAAGCAATACATAGCAACATTATGTTTAGAACCCATGGTGACACTACTGCAGATGTGTGCTCGTGTGTGTCATGAGAAACAGAGGGGGAGGACAGTTTGGCGTCACTTTTCACGAGGTGATGCTACTCTCAAATTGCACCATCAACACTTGACAGCTCACAGCTCGATGACAACTTGCACAGTTCCAACCTTTTAAGAGTATTTCTGTTTAAAGTTACCAACAAAAAAGAAAGGGTTTTGGGGGCATAAGTGAGTAGAAATGCAACAATTGCAACTTGGCAAACTTGTACATGTCTGACCTGCTATTTACCCCCTGATCTTACCCTCTCCTGATGTTCTTCCTTTCTAAGAACAAGGATCAACAGATGATTCTATACCTTTTTTGGATAAATAACTACATAGTATGTTTATTGATTATGAACACGATGTGTAAATGGTTTTATAAACTACCATAGGGTAGATCAAGTGTTTGATGATTCAGTCTGCTCTTTGTCCAATGGGAAATGGTTTCAAATCAATTATTTACATTACTAAGACAGTTCTCCTATGCTGTGTATGTAGGCCTTTAATACAGTCAACTTTGTATTGTTTGTCTACAACCGTCTATTAATTCCGTAGTTAATGACATCAGTGTGTGGTTGTTTGTATTTTATTATATGTATACACAAACTACATGAGGCTGATGACCAATTCCAGTCAGCGGGTGATGAATCGGAGCTTCTCTATTATTTTATTTTCTGTACTGAATAACTTCTCCTTTTTCTGTGAGCCCATGTCCTCCAGCGCTTCTCTTCTTCTCTCGGCTGCTGCCTCCCAGTGCTCCCTGCTCACTGCTGGAGGCGCTTTTTGAACGGCAAGGTTATAGTGATGAGTCTGCCCCTAAGGCTTAGCTCAAGTTTCTTGGATTGTTAGAAAATAAGTTTCTCTGAAATCATCAGCCTATTGACTTTTTTTCCCTCCAAATGAACTGCCTTAACTTGCCAACAAAGATATTCAGAAGTGGCAGTGTTGCCCATCTGTTGCTGTGGATCGTGATGCAACAACCTGGAGACAAAAAGCTCAGGCTGGCAAACATGAGGCTCATTTTCACTGAAACTCTACACCGCCTTTATTTAGTTAAGATAACCCGTATTATGTAAGGCTAGTTCGTCCTCTATAGTCAGACAGACAAAGACAGTCATGGTCATGAGAGAGACAAACAAAGTGTGCAGGTGCCTGCTTTGTCTTTACTTCTCTTCTTTGTCTGATGAAAGAGCTGCTTTGAAGTCTCCCTTCTGTGTCATTCAGTCCTCCAAAAAAACACACACATGCATTTGAGCGTATGTACAAAGACACACACCAACACACTCTGCCTTGATCTTTGTAGCTAAGTGCAAGCTCCCCTCACAAAAACTTTTACACAGTACACACATTAACGCAGTGACACGTAGAGAGGAGAGTTGTTTCCAGATGAAGCGAAAGAAAGACCCCTCTCAAGCGCAATACACAGCATGCTTTGATTTCTGCACTTCAAATAGTTTAAAGAAGTTGTGGTTTTCCTTTCTAAGTCCAAAACTTGAAAGAATGTGTCGTCGTGCTTCAGTGTGTTCAAGAGACTTGTATGTGGGTCAGTTTGCAGAATCATCAGGTGGTCATTTGACCACATTTCCTGAATTTACAGGAATGACTATAATTGAATCAATATTGATTATTGAAGCTGCAGAGAATGTTGGAGCTGCTGCATCGTGGCAGTATTAATGTCTTCTATGGAAAATATATACTTTCGCTCTCTTAAAGCAGATATAATCAATATTTCTGTCTTCTTTCTGGGAGGAATTGCTTGTTGTTATGAACTCGCATTGAGTTATCAAACCAAATGTGTAGTTCCCTAGCTCTACATCGCTTTATGAGCATCTTTAAACTTGTGTTTGTTTTTGGGTTATTTCAATCCGACAACTTAACTTGTTTTGATTGAGTCTTAGAGCTCTCATGGCATATGCCACCAGCAACAAACAGGCAAAGTTAGCAACTAGCTAGTTAACATGGGCTTAATGGAGCAATTATTAAGTAAGGAGACAGTTATTTTACGAGTAAGTAGAGATTAAAACAAAGCTAAAGTACAGGGTGTCCGCGGGGTCTTAAAAAGTATTAAAAGTTGATAAATCAATTTAGCGAAGATTAAGGCTATTAAAAAGTATTAAACGGCGTTTTCCAAGGTATCACATGTTGTAGCTTGTTTTCAATAAGTATATAAATTGTCCAGAGAGGTTGTATTCCACAGTCTGCCTGAATGTAATCATGGCGTAGGTGTGTAGTGTGATTCTGTGTAGTTTATTGATGGCATCCCGTTGGATTGGACGTCATCTGAACAGGACATCGCACGCTCACGGCTTGATAGCGCGGAGGTCCGTTTACGCCGGTTGTTAAACAACATCGTTATGGGGAAATGCAAGTCTGCGTCCAAATGGTTGGAGGATAAGGAGGAAGGACAATCAATACTGTATATAGTCAATGTGAGGTGAAGTGTCGCCAATGTAACCGGTTAAAACCCCAAGTGGCGATGAGGTCTTAAAATGTATGGAAAGGGTCTTAAAAAAGGTCTTGAAAGGTTTTACATTTGACTTCAGGATTCCTGCAGATACCCTGTAAAGTAGTAATGTAGTAGTTACATATGCAAACTTCATGATTTGCGATTTGTGTTTCTTATTTTGTTTCTGCATTCAGTGGAAGTTGTAGATGTTTGTCATGCACATGCACTTTAATTAAACACCCAATGTTGCAAATTGGGCAGTTCTGCTTTTATTTCAGGAAATAAAACATAATTGTTTTGTCATGTATTACATTGACTTTAACATCAACACTTGTGTTTATAGAATAGTGATCAAAGATGTTTTTATCCATACTGTCCACCCCTGAGTCTGTGCATGTTTGCTGTAATTCTTTGAAATGAGGCTTGTGAGGAGAAAACATTAATATTTCTCACTGTACACGGTTCTTTGTTCCTGGAGCTAGATGATGTGATATTGCTGAAATGTGTCTTATTGGAGAAGCTAGGCAGCGCAGTATAGAAATGGTGTTTTTGTTCACACCACAGCCACAGTGTGAGTTTATCTGGAGGAAGTGACTGCCTGGTTGCTGTATACACTGTCACTGGGACAGATGAGGTGGCAGTTCACTGAGCTCATGTGTTATTGTTTTCTCAGCATGTGTGTGCATGTCGGCGCGTCATTATCTTCAAATGGAAAACTTATATCAGTTCTGTTCACCCTCACATCGCTCCGGATCCGTTTCCCCTTCTATCGCAGGGGTCGGGGACATTTACATAGAAAATGAGTGTTTATCTGAAAGAGAAAATGGCAGGCAGAGAAAGAGAGAGCACATTGTCTGCTCTGAGTTGTTTTCCTGCCGTGTTTGGGAAACGCTTGATGTAATCAAACTCTTTGTTCTGAATTGTCCTGTGAATGAAATGCTGTCATTTTTCAAAACAGAATTCATCATCTGTCTCTATTTTTATCTGCACTGACAGATAACACAAAACTGCTTTGAATTGTAAAGGACTTTCCATAGAAAAGTGGGCTCTAGTAAACATTTCTATTCCCTCAGAGAGCGTCGCTGTGGTGGGAAAAATAGGTCTCTGGATAGTTCCGGGTAAAAGTGGATAGTTTTATCAAAGTTAATCTCTTTTTTTCTTGCTTCCTGTTGGGCTGATATCTTACTTGGCTTGTTTGTGCCGTTATTGCATGCAATAGTATTGTTTTATGTTGTATCAGATTGACTGCCATTAAAGGGGCCATAATATGCAAATTGTCAGGTTTACATTACATTACATGTTACTTGTTAGACGCTTTTACTGTGACAATCCCAAGTACTGTGAAGTGTGTACAAGTACTGTGGACAATCCCCACAGGAGCAATTTGGGTGAAGTGTCTTGCCCAGGGACACAACGACATGCTGACTGCTGTGGGACTCAAACTTGCTATATTAGTATGTAGTGTCTGTACTGTGACATGTCTCCATGCTTTAATGTTCAAAAAGCTCTTTATTGTTCTCGTGCTGCAGCACCTCTTTTCACCCTCTGTCTGAAACCAGAGCCCAGTCTGCTCTGATTGCTTAGCTGGCCTGCTCTGTTGTGATTTGTCAACCGCTTAGAGATGTCCCGCCCCTTAGCCTAGCACCTACAATGTGTTGGAGAGCTAGCCAATATGAGCATGAGGGTTACATAGTGATGCCACTATGTTAGGGAAGTAAACAAAGGAGTCCAATGGAGGCGTTTCAGGCAGGGGGGGGATTTTGGCCTTGCAGACCATAAAACCTATATAACACTACAGGAAAGGGAAAACCCCAAAAGCAAAACTATGATTTACCCCCTGATGTATTTACCAACATTTAGATTACAGTAGTAGTTAGTCCTTGCTGGGATGCACCTACTTCAAGGGTCTCTGCGAGTTACAACACGTCCTGTACAGGTCCACTTCAACACTATTTCAATACTCCTAAAACAAGGATTAACATAACAAATCAATGAAAGAGAAGGATAAACTGGAGCAGAGTTGTAGTTGTGAAAAGACCCAGAGAAAGACAGATATAAAACAATAATACAAATGGAGTCCAACAGCGATAGTAGCATTATAAGTCCCGAACAATAAATCCAACATAAAGTCAAGTCAGTAACAGAGGCGTATGATCTGACAGCTCTGTGTTCCAGTGAGAGCTCCAAACATACACCACA